CAATAATCATTGTTTTTCCATTTTCGTGACGATCACCACGAACACACGTTTACTTAACACGACACAGCCGGCGAACTAAACTAGCTAGAGCTATGTCAAATAAGAGAAGGATGCCGGGAGAAGTGAGTCGAGCCCTAGCCTGAATGTTAAGCACTGCCAATCACTCGACTATTGCGGCCTCCCACTCAAATGATATTTTTTGGTTAATATTTTCAATAAATTTTTAATCATAATTATAAAGCTTCCATTTCAAAAATTTGGAATATATAATAAATTTAGTGTGTGAATATCAATTTTCATTTGAGTTTAGAGAATAAGTATTTATTTATCATAGGCGTATGTTGCATGAATTAAATTCCTTATAAAAAATCGACAGGAGTATAAGAAATCATAATAACGATAAAAACAGCAACCAATTTTCATTTATAAAAATATTTATTAGATAAAAGTCGTCGAACTAGGAAGAGGAAATGAAACTTACAATTTATTTCTCTTTTTTCGCCTCCAGCAAAAGTTGGCGGTCTGATCGGCGTATTTATGGGAATTAGTTTTATTTCGCTGACGGAAATTATTTACTACTTGTGCATAAGACCCAAACGATCTAAATGTGAACAGGATAAAAAGATCTCCCTGGGCAAACCACGCGTTCTTTTGGCAAAGAGATCAAGAATGGTTTTTGTTAATCCTTACAAATTCTCTACGAATTCACCACAATCCCTCAACAATCCTGCTGCAAGACGTCAATTTGTGCCATATCATTGATTTTGTCAACACGATGATGAACTATGAAAAATTTAACTAAGAAATTTATTCATAAAATTAAAAAATTTTATTATACAAAAAGAGAAGGAGAAGGTTAATCCTTCGTCACACAATTTATGGTTTGACCACCAATAGGATGCACACGAATTTATTTGAAAACTACAGTAGTAAATATGTAAATGCGTTCGTCAAGGTCACCTTATATTCACCATATTCACCAAATATTGATATCAAAGTTATTATTCGTCACCTGCTGACAACTGATATGTAACATTTTTTACTATAAACAAATATACCGACATACTTACATACTTCGTGGGAATGTGAAGTGGGGGAAATACATTCTCATCTACGTCGACTGAAACTTGAAGTGATGAGCAGTGATGCGGTGAGGAGTTAAGGTGCGTGAGTGCAATTTCATTTCGACCGTTCAATAGCGTGTCCGCAAACATTTTACAAGCATTTGATTAAGTATTTGCTAACGGTAAATTTATTTTGCGCTGCTTTGGCGGATATTTAATGCCTAATGACATTTCACACACATATATGTAAGTCCTTTTAAATTATTACAACTCTAGGGCATTTAATTACAGTTATAAATGGGTACTCTTTGGGGCAGCATGAATTCTTATACTGAAGATCGTTTGTTACAATTAAAACCAAAATTCACACCTGAAAAGCAAAAGTCAACTGGTGAGTAGAAATGTCGAAGTTTATACATAAATGAGACGACGTCTGTAGCAGGATTTTTTATTATTTCTAGTTCTCCAAAAACATAAGAGCAGTGATTGCTCCAGCGAGGAAATGGACGATGAACACCTTTGTACTAAAGAAGCTGCAAAGAAAAGCGTGAAATATTATTTACAAAATTCCACTTTGCATGACTTGAAATATATTGCTGAGGAGAAAATAACTTTACCCGAAAGGTTAGTAAAAGAGCTTATGTTGTTATTGTTGTTGTAACATTTGGATAACCCCACTTAGGAGCAGGCTAGATCAGTCTATGTCATTGAGGACATTTACCGGCAGGTCCAGGAAACTATACATACGACGGGTTCGCATCAGAGGGAAAATAAGGGTTAGGTGGCTTGACTGTTAGGGGCATGTAAAGAGATGTTGGTTAATGCCGAGCGAGGAGTTCTTTTGCATTCAGGACATACAGTTGAATACGTCGACTATAATTGACTATAATATACAGATCTAAGTTGTCACGGTCCTGAGGGTGGATCATATCAGTACATCATAGCTTATGCTCGACCGGCCAATTACTTGTGGGTTGCCAGCAAGACTTTTGTGAAGGTGGTTTGAGGATTTTGTTGCTTCTCAGGAGTCTTGTGGCAATCGCAGTCGTCTGCAGAGTGAAGTAGTGTAGACTGTCGAATGTGACTCCCAGACTTGGAAGGAGATAGTGGAAGAGGGAGTTTCGAGATATAAAAAGAAAAAAGGAGTGATGAGGGGCCAGTATCATGCGTGATCCCTTGATAATATTTTTGAGTTTCGATGCTTGACCTCGAAATTCTACCGAATATTGACGACCATTCGGGTAGCCCATGGTCCACCTCTTCAAGCCTGGCTGTAATGAGTATTCCCCAATGTCCGGTAGAAGCACTGAATGGTTGACCATTAAAAAGCTTTGATAGATCCATTGCTACCAGTGCAGTTGGCGCGGGTTCGGTATTAGTTGAGGCCATTCCTTGCATGGAAAAATCAAGCGTCGCGCTGGAGTTTGGCAGTTTTCACAGTTGGCGGGTTACTTGCACGACGAGGCGATATCAGCGAATGAAATTTCCAATCCGTGAAGACACGACAATTCGACAGTGTCGACAATTGGAGTGGGGAGAGCAATGAGGGTGTTCTCAGTGAATTTCCTGAATACAAGCCAGTTAGCTTTGTTAAAGTTAACAACCGACCGGTGATGCTCGTAAACGAACTAGGGAGGTCTGTCAATCGAGATTTGTATGGGTAAGTTATCCGATGCTAGTGTCAGTACAGGTCTTTGGGCTATGCTGTTTATCAAGCCATCACTCGCAATTGTTACGTCAGACGAGCTTTGGGCCAGCTTTCCCACAATTCTAGTGCCATCATTCATGGTTCAGCCAGCTCCATTCCCCTACGGTCATTTGATATGCTGGAATGCCAAAGTTCCTGGTACTACTTTCGCCTGGACGATATGCAATTGGGCAAAAAGTAACTGAAGGGATGTATATGTTAAATATTTCGAAGTCGACATCCTACCGTCGATGGCACCGTCGATGAAATGATAATATGAAGATGATGTTTTATCTGACCAGGCTCCTTTAAACTTTCCCTGTCCTTCAATAAAGATAAATAATAAATAAGATAAATAAAATAAATAAAACACAATTTCTTATATTTACTGTTTAATTTATTACATCTTTATACAGAATTTTCTTCGGGCTCTCTTTTATCGGTGTTGTTATTTTATCTGGATTCTTCATATCCAATATCTACGTTAAATGGTCCGCTTCACCGATAATAATATCGACTAGTGCCAGGCAAACCCTTGCTAGTGATGTACCCTTCCCCGCAGTAACCATATGCAACCTTAATCAGGCATCCAAAAGTAAAGTCCAAGACATACCCACGTAAGATATCCTGCAATGTGTTTGGAATGTGTAATGGAATGGTAATAGGCAATCCTTCGATGCGATTTGTGTTTAGTTCTTTTTACAGACAGAATTTAAACTATTCGCTGCTCATGAGCCTCTGTGGTCAAACTCAGCTGGGTGAATCTTTTAATGTTCGAGGAACCTGGTCAAACTTCAAAACCATACTAAAAGCGGTAAATAAGAGTGATATACGAGTACATATGTATAGTTATTTGTGCCCAATTTACAAAACAACCTTAGGTGGCTCAACCCTGCGATGAAATGCTTTTGTACTGTAGCTTCGGCGCAAAGCAAGAAAACTGCTCAGTGATTTTCAACTCTGCCTTGACTGACGATGGATTATGCTGCACATTTAACGCTTTGGATCCGATTTTTATGCAACGAAACTTCAGGTAAATGAATTGATTCTGTCTCCCACAACAGCAATTCGAGTTTATTCTTTTTTATTTCCAATTAAAGTGATGAGGATCGTATCTCGCCGAAATCCTCTAACCATTTCGTACCCATGGATTGGACGCCTGAAAGTGGTTATAATAGAGATTTGCCCAAAAACTATTATCCACGAGTTTCGGGTGGCACAGGCAGCAGACTAGGTCTAACCGTGGTTTTGAATTCCTCAGCTTCGGAGTATTATTGCACGAAATCTAAAAGCATCGGTTTCAAGGTATCCTCTTTTAAATAATTAAAAGACATTTGTCTCACAACTTTTATTCAACCAAACACAAGATTCTATTGCATAACCCCGCCGAGTTGCCAAGAGTAACTAATTATGGATTTCTAGTCACAACCGGACGAGAGGCTCGTATTCCCATCGAACCCATCTATGAGGATGCGGTACCCGCCATACGGTCTATTAGTAAAGAGAAACGGCGTTGCCTCTTCTCCGACGAAGGCGATCTAACCTACTACCGCACTTACTCTCGCCGGAATTGTGAAATCGAGTGCGAGGCGAAAATATTGATTGACAAGTGTGATTGTGTTTTATACTATTTGCCACGCATCAATGGCTCAGCACGGATTTGTGGACCCAATGACAATCCATGTACGAATGAGGTACAAACACAAATCGAGTCGTCGGACAAGAAGGTGACTTGCGCTAATTGTTGGCCAGCTTGCTTTGAATTGAGCTACAAGGTAAGAGTAACTTCCACGACAATCTCTTATGGGCAATTTTTGACCGCCGACGAATGGTCGCCTGAGCTGTTTGGTTCAGCTACAAACTTCACAGAAATATCCATCGTAAACTTCTACTATTTATCAAACATATTGCGCAGCACGACAAAGTCAGAAATGTTCGGCTTTACTGAGTTTCTATGTAAGCTGTTTTAACCTAGAAAAAAACATAAATCAAACTCCAATTTTTCTACATATTCCAACAGCTAACACTGGTGGACTATTGGGCTTGTTTATGGGCTTCAGTATTTTCTCGGTTATCGAAACAGTCTATTACGTCACAGTCCGTCCCTATTGTGCCAGTCGCACCATGCAGCTGTCACGTCGCCGGCGGCTACGGAACATGAAAGTAATTGTGATATACATACATATGCACATACGAACATGAATCTGTAAGATTTTATGTAATTTTTTCTTGATTTCAGTGGCTGCGTGCTATTCGGAGCAAAGTTAGACCAGAGAGATATGATGGCAGTTCAAGATTCTGGGCGAAAGATGGAAAACAGAAGAAGTTTTTTAATAATAAAAATTATCGAAATAACTTAAATCATATATTATTACAACACAAACAAAATAAATTTAATAATGATGGCACTTTACTGTATCCCTACTTGGAGTGAAGTTTACAAAAAAAAAAATTAAAGCTAACATAATTTTGTATTAATAAGTTTTCGTTAGCGCAAAGTAATTAAATGAACACCAAATCAACTTTATTATTTCTCTCCCACTAAATAACAGTGATTTCTGAATTTCGCGGCCTTACTTACACTAAGTTGAATAAATCTCTTTCTTATATTGTCGTTGAATCTTAATAATTTGTCTTGCATTGAGTGTTTAATTGGATAGTAATATTTATTCATTTATTTTATAAAGAAAAATAATTGTACAAAAATTATCTTACTTATGAACTAAAGCACTGGCTGGTATGGCTTTCGGCCTTACATATAATCACAAATATTATAATATATACATAAGGTGGAGAAGTGTTAATAGTGAGATATCAATCTTGACAAGAGTATGGTTATACATATATGCGTGCATTTGAAAAGTGTGAAGAACGTGTTGAGATGAACTCTAAGTACTATTAGTTCATAGGCCAATAAGAATTTATAAATAATGTTAATGCTTTTTCCATCTGGCCTCCTAAGGAGTCCCGATGGTTTGTTGCATTTAAATGAGGTTTTTCTAATTACATTTAATTCCATGCAGTCATCCAGAACATGTGAAACGGTTACATACATAGCCGACCCATTTAGAGAAGAACCAAGATTGCAAGTGACTGAATACAAATTTTTTTATGTCTTTTTTGATGAAATAGTCTAGCAGACGAATTGGTTTGGAACCACCGGCCTTTGCTCCTTGATCAGTTCGTTCCCTTTGATACCAACATGATTACCTCCCTGATACTGGAGATGATATAGGAATCACCGGTATTGCTAAATACGGCTGGAGTGCTGGTATAGTATCTGGAGCCTTCTGTAAACAGGAACAAGGCTCCTTTGCTTCGAGATATAAATATCTCTATACACATGCCGAGGTATTCTCTTTTGGATGCTTGAGTAAATCGCTTATAAGAACGGAGTCTGGCAAGTGGGAATGAGGGAGTAATATGACCAAGTTGTTCGATATAACTTAAGATGCGAGCGATAGTAGATGACCTCTTTGCACAGATTTTATTTTGTTGTTGGAGGACAGATATTCATTTCTTCAAGTTAAGATTTTTTTTTCTTAGCATCATTGAGTTGTACAATACTCTATATTGAATCTCAGGTACACCAGCTTCCGCGAAGTAGGAAATTCTCGAATGCCCCTTCTGCGTGGTAGGGAGATTGTAACAGTTGCAGATGTTTTTTAGCACAGTATTCATAGATTGCTAGTCCAAAGTCAATTTTGGCTAAAAGTTGTACTCTTGTTAAGTTTATGTTTAAGTTGTGCTTAAGATAGAAACAAAAAATGAATGAAACTTAATAATGTTTGGTTTAGAAAATAAACTCATTCTTTTATATTTACAATGTTGCTTAAATGTTCATTTCTTATCAAATATTACTCCTAATATCTTGAATGTGTCAGTATTTAGGACGGAGCTTTTGTTGACTAAAATCTTAGCCCCAGAACCTTGAGGCCAATTGATTAAATCAGTTAAGATTTTTAAAAAGATTTCATAAATGAATTTGTGAAATGCAATAGAGGATAGGATTACTGACGGGGAGATTCTTGTGGGATCCCAATAAAGAGGGGAAAAATTTTCGAATCTCGGTTATTGACGCGAACAAAGAACTTTTTATTACTAAGGAAAGATTTAATGACATTAAAGATCTTTGGTTACGTTTTTCAACGTTTAAGTTCTGAGGGAATGACATGGGAGCCGATTCTATTATATGCCTTTTCAAAATCTAAGCTGAGAAGTGAAACTTTGTTTCTGAATGTAAGATCCATTGAAGCAAAATGTTCAAAACTCATAAGAGGATCTAATACATTTAAACCGTTTTAAAATGCGAACTGATGAGGGTTAGTTAAACTGTTTTTTTTTTCGGAGTACCAGAGTAATCGGCGAGAAATGGTTTTTTCAAATACTTTTGATAAACAGGAGGGAGGGTCTATAACAAGCAATGGAGAAACTAAGTTTACTAGGTTTGAGATTTGGCAGTACTGTTGCAATTTTCCAATCTTGAAGGAATACACCTTAATCCAAAAAAAAGTTGTAAAGATCGATGGGTCTTGGGAGTGAATGAAAAAGACATGTCTCCGATTGTCTGAAGAGGTAATCCGGAATTTCATCGAAAAATCATCTTGGTTGATCAGGCTCACTTCCGCTTCGATGGTGACGTCAACAAGCGAAACTGTTGCACTTGGGCTTGGAAAACCCAAGGTTTTTTGTTGAAAAGCTTCTCCATGCTAAACGCGTAACTGTTTGTTGCGGTTTATAGTCAGACGGGGTCATTGGACCTTGGATTGGCCTATCAAGGAATTATTAAAGATATTTTAGGAACGAAATTGGATGGGTTACTTTCAGCAAGACAGCCCGACGTGCCACACGAGCCACGAAACCCTCAATTTTTTAATTAAAAAGTTTCCGGACTATGCCATCTCTCGAAGAGTGATCCCAATTGGTCGCCCAGATCTTGCTTTTTAACACCTTGCGACTTCTCTCTTTGAAGCCACATGAAATATAAGGTCTACACCAACAGGCGATTCCAGATCTCAAGGATAGGAGCAATGAAACTATTCAGGGCATAAAGCTTCCAATTTAGTGATGGAAAATTTCATAAAAATGATGCGGTCCTATAAGCGTAGTCATGGCCGCCATTTGGTTGATACTACTTTCCATGGCATATCTTCCTCTTTATATTGAAATAAATATCCGATAAGTTATCTAAATAAATTACCAATCTCTTGGAATATCAAATGAACATCTCTTATTGGAAAACCCTGTACAATATAAATATGTATATATATATATGTATATATATATATGTAAATATGCATTCTATATAATTTAATTTGTACCTGCAGCTGCTGTTGGCGGTCTTATTGGTCTATTTTTGGGTTTCAGCTTCATCTCGATTGTCGAATTGGTTTACTATGCCGTTATACATCCCATACGCACTCTGTTGCACTTCCGGTTCTCAAAGAAGCCGGATATTGCGGAAACGTGGATGTGTACCCACAAATGGCCACAGTTCAACGTTATAAGCGTTTGCGGAAATACCTACGACTACGAGCGATTCGCGGCAGGGCCAATAGGGCAGCGAAGCAAAAGTCCGGTTACAAGCGACTGTTCAAAAACGTCATTGAAAGTATCACGGAGAATTTGGAAAAGGAAAACGAAATTAGAAAATAGATACAGAAGGATGAGGAGGAATGGAATGGCGTTAAATTAGTTTTTCCGAAATGCATACGAAACATACATACAAATGCCGTAAATAATAGTGGTCAAGAAAATTGCTTAAAACAATATAATAATAATAACACTCTTGAGATTCTCGTATATACTATTTATATATATGTAAGGATGTACATACATATATGAGTATGCGTATGAAGTTCGAATTTAACTTCTTCACTCTATCAAACTTATGTATGTGTAGCAATTAAGTCAATTTTATCATTGGCAACATTTACATACCACTTTTGGTTTAATGAACACATATTATATTATATATATATATATATATATATATATATATATATTTATACATATTGATACTTAACAAAATGTGAGCTTTGAATTGTTATTATTTATGTGCTAACGCCTGCAATATATTATACATACACATACACGCACGTACAAGTTCACAAATCTATAAGAAAATGTTTAAATTTTGCCTTTGATGTCAAATGGCATCGACGCTCCGCGGCGGTATCGGTGGTATTGCTCAGACGACGGAAAACCCAGTGCAAGTGTCGGTAATAATGGAGCCAATAAAGAAGAAAGCACAAAATTTCATTGAAATCAAGTGCCCAAAAATTAGAACTTTCATAGGGAAAAACACTAAAGACTATTGTAATGACACCACCATACATGGTCTTAAATATATAGCCAATAGCAGTCTATTTCCTCTAGAAAGGTGAGAAAATTAAATGTTTAAATTAAGAATCCCTTGTATGAGGATTAAAATTTACAAAACAAATTCCACGATCTTGATCTTATGACCTTTGATCTGTAATTGTATGATAACAAAATGTGGAGTAATTTAACTTTTTTCTTTCAGAATATTTTTCGCATGTTCTTTTGTGATTGTCGTGCTTGGTGCGGTTTTTTTCGTGGATAAAGTCTATGAAAAATGGAATTATACACCGGTTATAATGAGCATAAATTCTCAGCCCACTGGAATAACTCAAGATCCCTTTCCGGCAGTTACTATATGCAATTTGAATTTGGCTTCTAAACAAAAAGTTGAACGGTTTTCCATGTAAGTTTTTAAGATTTTCATGCATGTTTACTTACCAGAGCTGTGAAAGGCGCACTAATATTCTAAAGCAAAGTTGCATGGTAATGGTAAATTTCACCTTAATCTAACAAATTTGTTTGAAATACTTGGAAATGTTATGGTTAAAGTAGTTATTTAAATAAATCTTATTTCATTTTTACCCGATACGAAAAGCTCTTAAATCGTTAACAGATAATGTTAAGCGTTAAAATTGAATTAAAATTGCTGTTAATAGCATAGCAGAGCAAGCAGTCATGCTAAAATTAATGTTAACGCTGAGTCTGTTTTGGTTTGAATGATAATGATTTCATTTCTTTTTAATAACATGGCGCGATTAGTAAAATTTATCTGTTCTAAAGTATTGGTAAAATAATTTTATGTTTAATTTTTTTACTTTTTCGTTAATGCACAACACTTCCAGAACTAAGGGAATGACCAGATTGCCAAAGGACGCGTAAGGTCAAATGTGTATTTGCATCTGCTCCTACTGATCTCTGGTAGCAATCTTAACGTAAGCCCCCTAGTGTGGGTGTCCATTGGAGAAAAGCCGCAGAGCACACTTTTGGTCCAACTCCATTTAATACCTTGAAATTAAATTGTGGAAATTATTTGCATTTATTAATTTCAAAACGAATCAGAGGGATTCAGTGGGTTGCTGTGGCCACGAAAAATTCTCTTCCTTAATTTTTCCATTTTTTCCCCCAAATAGCAGCCACAAATAATAAATTCATTTTATATAATTTTTCTCCAATAACAAACAACTTAAGGATTCATAAATAAATTGTTAGTAGTGACTTACTTTTTGCTCGAATTTCTCAATTCCAATAGAATTGAAGAGCACGCTTTTGTTCCCGAATCGGAAATACAGAGTGATCCATTTTGAGGTTTTTTAATAAACGTAAATAAAACGCATTTAAAGTAATGTTTTTCAGTGATATTCCTTTTGTATTATATATTCTGAGCTTTGGCGTTAAATAAGAAATATCACATTATTCAAGTGACTGCCTCGTGAATTTTCGCCAACTTCGAAAATAGCTTTACTCTAGTCTTCGGCTACACTTTAACTTGCAGTACCGATACTCCGCTTGAGTAGTTGAAGAATTATGTGTGCCATAACCTCCACTTAAGGCACGAAATGAAGCCACGTTTGAATCACCACGTTAATAGTAGTTTAAACAACTTTACCGCATTGTGCAGTTGCTTATCCATCCCTCTTCATAAATTTCTGGCCTTTAACTAAAACAAAACATATTTGGTTTGAAAACTGAAAGAGGCAAATCTCAAAATACATCATTGTACTTTTGAGACCACAAAATGGGTAACCCTATACACATTTATAATCAATTGTTAAAAATCAATAAACAGATTTAGTATATTGAAAGCCAATTCTTGCTTGAATACGACAATTGACTGGCAAGAAAGATTATCCGATAATCCCACAAACGAAATATTGAATCAGTAAGCGGAAAATGAATTGGCGAAGGAGTTCTTTTGATTGTATAGATAAAATTCTTAAGCAAAATAAAGCGTCTTTTTCTCATATGTAATTTAATTTTACGAGGTTTTTATTAGGAAAGAAAAGCCAAAATTCTTGAATTCTTGGCTAGAATACAGAAGAAACGTTAAGAATTGTACCAACCTTTTACAACTCTGGTAAACAGCGATCTTCAAGTTGAAGATGCATGTAAAAACTACACAAAGTTTATATAAAACATCTTTTTAGCTATTCACTTGAATATACTATGATACAAATGATGTGCAGATATCCTGTCAATGAAACTATTGCTAATGAAATTACCGACTGGAGCAACTTAAGAGGTTTTGTTTCAGAGGTAATTATCGTTAAATTAACACCTGCTCGTATGTGCGCTGTAGTGAATCTCAAATACCAACCTTCTTGTGTCCTTATCCCGTCCGTCGCATTCTTGGCCGGTGGTGATGTCAGCTTTTAATCCTACTTGGACACACACCAGCTGGGCAGCGTCACCTTTCTAATTAAGGGACAGATCATCAAGTCCATGCCTCTCACCCGAGAATTTAGCTACCTCTCGGCACTAAATATCATATATCTGACATAAAGGAAAAAGTTTATCATAAAAGTCCACCAGCCGTCTGAAGACCACTTGGAATAAATTGTTGTTCTCTCCATTTGTTGCATTAAAAAAACAGACATTACAAGTATAGCTCGATCAAAAATTGTGCCATTACTTACAATTAAAATTATTACTTTTAAGATAACGCTTTGTCAGAGACTACTGAGTTATGCTCAACCATTGTACAGCTTCCAGAGTAGGAAAACTTAGCGTCTGTTTTCCGTTTGAGCTCACAACTGAGAACGATTTCGATTTATATTTCAATTGCCTTTCGTGGCCACATTTAATTTGAAGTTCAGAGTTGAATGAATGATTTTGAAAACCTATAACAGAAACCAACAAGGACTATGAAAAACCTAAAAGTTAATTTATAGTGGACGAACAAATATGTTCTGCGCTGTTAGTTGCTGTAGTGAGGGGACCATATTGAAAAATCTGTTGAGAATTATCTGCTATCCCTGCTAAACATAACAAATGCACATCCTCTTGCCATAAAAATTGAGTCTCAAATTTCGATGGATGAGGGGCTTTTTACTATATGAAAAAGGTCATATACATACAAACAGGTGTTAACTATTCGAAAGCCTTGAAGTCATGAGTTACGCTAATAACATTTCCTTTTTAAAGTAGATCTCGCAGACATGTAGTGAAATGCTGATCAGCTGCAAATACGGTGGAGTTAAGTACAAATGTACTGAAATTTTCCAGCCCGTTATAACCGACAGCGGTTCATGTGAAGGTTAATTAAAAAATGTATTTATTTTAATTATTTATTAATATGACAAAAATATATGCAGAAACCCAGAGTGTGCTAACTGCACAGCTCAAACACCGAAGGGCACTGAGCACGTTGAATGGAGTCCAGAGAACGGTTACCAGAAAAATTTGCCTCGAAGTTATAGTCCTATGCCTGCAGTTGGCACGGGCGAAACATTGGGCTTGTCCGTAACACTGGATGTGCAAGCTGATAATTATTACTGTTCATCTGCGAGTAGCGTTGGTTTCAAGATACTATTACATAATCCTCTTGAAGTGCCTAACATGCGGGAAATCGGTTTGCCACTGACGCCCGGTCGTGAGACAAAAGTCCGAATAAGAGCTGTTAAAACCGATTCGGAACAGGGCTTGCGTTCAATGAGTAAAATGTCGCGGAGATGTCTCTTCGCCGATGAAAAACCTTTAGAGTACTATAGATTTTATACACAACGCAATTGTGAGGTGGAGTGTTTGGCGAAAATGCTGTTGAAATATTGTGGTTGCGTAACACATTTTGTGCCCTTATTTTTGGAGAACCAAAACCAATGTGGAATTTACGAGATGTCCTGCGTGATGCGTATACACCTGCAATCGATGGTTACAAATAATGGCAAGGGTTGTCCCGAAGTCTGCCTGCGCGGTTGCTATGATTTGACTTACCTACCGGATTTCTTCACAATACCGTTATCACATTCAGGATTTCAAGTCATGAACCAAGGCATTAAGAATATGAGTAGTGCCTACGTAGAGAAAAATGTTGCAGTAGTAAATATTTACTTCAAGGATGTCGCGTACAGAAGCAGCAAACAGGCGGAATATATTGGAATAACGGATTTTTTATGTAATTTCAAACTGAAGAGCAAACTTATCGGGATTTCTTACTTAAAAAATCTTTCCTTTGCAATTTTTATTTCAGCAAATATTGGTGGAATCCTTGGACTATTCTTTGGCTTTAGTTTCATGTCTTTAGCGGAATTCATATTCTATTTTCTTTTGAAGCCAATTCGGGTGCTGGTTGTTAAATCTTGGTCAAAACGAGACATAAAAAGAGGAGTTTCCAAAAAGTTGAAGCCTTTTGAAAAACTTTCGAAACCATCCAACCATCTGAATTCAAGTGAACAGATGGAAGCTGTTGATAGTTATTTAAAAGGTAAAAACCACACAGATATTTTTCGTTCGAAAGGAGAGGGTCTGCCACAAAAACTTAATATCCCATGGCAACCTGGTATGGAATATACACCTTAAAAATTTTTAATATTTATGTTTAATGTATTTTTAATATGTATTTATTAAACAAAATTATATAGCACAAATAAATAAACAATTTACGAGCACCGTAAATATTCTTTAATTAACTGCAACATTATGAGGAAACGAGTAATTGCGACTGTAAGGAATTGAAGCATCATATATTTAAACATTTGGAGCCGGGGCTTGGGAAAAGTGTAAGATTCAATAACAACTTTTATTGGTATCTATCACCAAATATTCCTATCAAATATGGGTAACACAAGACAATTATCAATTTCCTTATGATAATATTGGAATAGGATATGTAAGAAACGAAAATAAGATCCACAAAGGTTATGTAGACAGGGATAAATCTAGGGGGTTTTGAGCCCCAGATGCGATTGTCCGTTTTGCTAATTGACATCGGTCAAGCTCTTCTTTCTTTAAAAAGTTAGTTTGAAGTGAATTTTAATCCCGCAAATGCGTTGTTCAAGTGTGCGACGTTCCATTTTTCTACCGGAAGAAGGCTATTCAAAATAACACTATTGTTTGAAAATCCTTTATTCATATTAAGTTTACCAATCCAAAAATCTGAATTGTGTATAATACTGTCTTCTCATCTACAAAAATCCATCATTATTTTGCTGAAAGATGCCAAAATGCATTAGTATGATGAGCTTGAGAAGCTGGCCGACAAGGCTAACTTCCGAAAATTCTATGAAAACTTACGGTGATTTACAGAAGCTTTCAAGACCGGAGCAAACTCTTGCATTACCCAAAGGTGTGACCTAGTGATGGATGCCCAGAGTATACGAAATTTATGGAGGCAACACTTCTCCAGCCTACTGAATGGCAGTGAAAATACAACACCTAAAACCCGAGTAGACGATGATAGAAAATACGTTCCATTATCCGACTACGATTGCCTGTTCAAAGAACCACAAATGATGGCTAAGCTATCTGCATGCGTCAAATAACTTATTAGGCCTCATCAGTGTGGTTTTATCCCTGCTAAATCCCCCATTGACAGAAAAATCTTGGAAAAGACTTGTGAGAACATAATCGATACACATCGTCTTTTCATTGATTTTGAGGCTTCCTTCGACAGTACGGTAATGAGCAGCCTCTCCGTCGATATGTCTAAATGCCGTAAACTGACGCTAAATAACAAAGCAGCGAATCAAATGGGTCTGGTAGTGTACGAAGATAAGGCGAAATAACTCTTGTCAACAAAAAAGAAGTCGGCGCCTTTACTGCTTGGCTCCCACGCCACTTTTGACAGTAACAACTTCGAGGTCTATTTAGAGACCAGCATAACCACTAACAATAATACCAAGGCAGAATAGCTCTTAACAGTACCCCACGGCATAAGCAGAGGAAGTGGAAGACCTTCACTCTATTGGTAGGATCAGGTGGGGTGCGTCCTGGTTTTACTTGGTATTTCCAACTGGTGCCAAAATTCACAGAAAATAACATAATGACATGCTATTGTTGAGTGGCGCACACGCCAATGAAAAAGAAGAAATTTTTTTAAGAGAAGAGGGCAGATCGGAGAGTGATGTGGCATACGAGGAGGGAACGGAACCATAAATTATTGCACAGAAATATATATTTTCTAATGGAAGTTAATAAATATGTGTATAAATACTTTGCTTTCAATTTGCTTTCATAAAGTAATGCAAATAAATCAATTTATTGAAATAATTATTAACATAATTATCTGGTTCATAGATATATTGCATACCACTTTGATTGGAAAATATTTTCTTTAGTGGCTTTATTATAGTGCACAATTGAGAAGTTATTTGTTTAAATCAATAAATAATTGTATTGACGCACACACACATATCATTCATTCCACGTTCATTGGAAATTTGCGCTTCGCATAGCAGTCATTTGAAATGGATCCTTTGAAGAAATTACAAAGCCTGGCACCCACACAGGTTATTACTATGAAAATATATGGCGCAACGAAAAAGCTTTTACAAAAAAGAAAACTACAAAAAATCAAAACGGTTATTTTCGAGAATTTCAAAGGCTATTGTGATAATACTTCTATACATGGATTGAAATACGTGGTGAATAAGAGTCTACATCCGATTGAGAGGTAAGTAATAGATATCAATTTATAATTAATAAGGCAATACGATATATGTAACGGATGACCCAAGTAGAGGAACTGTTTTCAATTGCCTTTTCTGAGAGACCACGCATGAGCCGTGTCAATCTGTTTTTTTGTTCAGTATTGTTTGGCACTTGATCATGGAAAGACTTACGCCTGAACAACGTTTAAAGAATACGTTTCGTGCGCTTCGCTCAACTTCTGGTCAACATAATCGGCTTACTGAGCGTACTTTTCACAACACCATCAGCCATCTTGATACTCAGTATTCATTACTGGATAATATTCGATCGAATAGACCATGTCCAGCCCGCAGTGTAGAAAATGTAGCGGTGTTGCTGAGAGTGTAAACGAAGGCCGTGGAGAATCGATTTGGCGCCGTACGTAGCAACTTGGACTGACATACGGAACGACTTGTCGCATTTTACGTTGAGATCTTAAAATGAAAGCGTACAAAAACAGTTCGTGCAAGAACTGAAGCCGCTAGACCTCTCCAAGCGACATCACTTCGCTCTATGGTCGCTTGAAAATATCCAAGAAAAACCGACATTTTCGAGCCAAATAATGCTTAATGGGTATATAAACAAGCGAAATTGCCACGTTTAGAGTGAAGAGCAACCTGAAGAGATCCAAGAGCTGACTTGCTTACTGGGATCGTTTAAGGAGCTTAAGCTCAAATTGATTAATACTTTTTTTTAATTTTTTGAAGATTACTCTTACGCAGGCCTTTAAAAATGTTTTAAGAAAAATATTATATATTTTTTGTTCGATACAGGATATTTTTCGCAGTATCTTTTATATGCGTTGTGTATGGGGCAGCTGTTTTTGTTGGAAAAATTTATGAAAAATGGAATTACACACCAATGCTGGTAAGTATCAATCCGAAGTCTACGCACATCATAGACGATCCATTTCCGGCGGTGACCATTTGTAACCTCAATCAGGTGTATAAGGCAAAGGCCCAACAGTTTGCAGTGTAAGTATTGGCGATGTGTTTGAGTACCGTCAAAATCATAAATTCAATTACAATTTTGTTCTTTCCTAATTTAGTGACTCAGTAGATTACACAATGATACAAACGATTTGCAAACGGGACGCTAATATTTCTAAAGTCAACGCCATTAAGGACTGGAGAAATTTTAGAAATTTAATTAAGGATGTATGAAGAAAAAAAAGGGTGTTTCGAAGAACGGCATAACTATTTGCATATCTCTATTTTGCTGTTTAGATTTCTCCACCCTGCAGTAAGATGATATTGAAATGTAAATATGGAGGAACGAATTTCAATTGCAGCGAGATTTTTCGACCCATTCTTACCGATAATGGAGTTTGCTGTTCGTTCAATATGGTCGATCCCAAGTTTATGTACCGAGAGTAGGGATATGAATATGATCTCGAGATTACGATTATTTGCATAAAAGAATAATATTTTTAATTTTGTTATCTACTCCTCAAAGTTCCGTCAGAAAAACACTCGTGGACACAACTTTTAGATATCCAAGAGATTATCAACCAGTCGATTGGAGTTCGGAGGCTGGCTATCCGGCCATTTTACCAGAAAAATTCATACCAATGAAAAGTTTGGGTGCAGGTGAAAGTGTTGGACTCAGCTTTGTATTAGATGTTGAGAGCGAGGAATACTATTGTTCCACATCAGATAGCATCGGCTTTAAAATTCTACTACACAATCCGCTTGAAGTGCCTAATATGAGAGAAATTGGACTTTTGCTTTCGCCTGGGCGAGAAACCAAAATCCGCATTCAACCTGATAAAATCGAATCTGAAAGATATCTACGTTATATTAGTAAAAGCTCACGCAAATGCTTATTCGAAGATGAGGAATATTTGGAAATGTACAATGAGTATACGCAACGCAACTGTGGAGTTCAATGCAGTGCTGGAGAAATTTTGGAAAGTTGTGGCTGCTTGCCATATTACGTACCAATGATATATGGTAATGAAACCATTTGCGGCGTGCGTGACTACTCCTGTGCTGAGCGTATTCGAATGGAGACCTTGCACATAAAAAACTCGAGAAGAGTTTGTTCAGAGTATTGCGCTCCTTCCTGCAACGATCTCTCCTACTTCCCATCGTTTTTTTCTGCTCCACTACTAAATACCAGTTTTCAGGGTGAAGAGGACAAATTGGATAAAAATATCAACAGCACGTATTTGGAGAAAAATATCGCTGTGGTAAAAATATACTTCAGAGACAGCACCTATAGAAGCCAGAAAAATTCTGACTTCATTGGGGCAACAGATTTCTTATGTAAGTTGGTATATTAAATCACATTTAAGATTTAAAAATTGTGTAATTGCTGACATTTCAGCAAATATTGGAGGTATAATTAGTCTATTCTTCGGCTTCAGCTTTATATCGCTAGCTGAGTTGGTCTACTACGGTATCTTAAGGCCGTTGAGATTGATTTTCTACATACAAAAATCCCAAGTTGCAAGATTGGCTAAAACACAAAAACGCAAATCAATTCAGCTCTTCTTCAGAAACCAATAAATTCATAAAATTGGTATGATGAGGCAAAGTACTTTTTTCACACAATCAAATAAAGTCGCTATAAAAAATTATGGATTTGGAATTGAAAGAAAAACTTCTCGGAATGCTTGGGAGGCTGGGATGGAGTATACACCTTAAGAAGGCTTTGAGTAACAGTGTATTGTAAGATATATTTCGGCACTAAATACATACATACAATAAATACAATAAATGCTTACATATATGATGGGCAATTTCCTTCTTTAACTACCTTTAATTGGGTTAATTTTTAACTCAGTGTGGTCGAGTGCACTTAGATCCATTGTTTTACGATCGTGGGATCAAAGGTAATTAAATCTGGGTAAACAAACCTTATAAATCGAGATGTACATTTGTTCGGCAACTGGGAACAACAGCTCTCTTTTTATTAATTGGTGAGGACTTCGCTTGAGCGCCCGCCTTCTTCATAATATTTCGGAACAGCGCCACTGTTATAGAAAAACAATTTTTTTTTTTTAATTTTAGTTATAAGTTGTAAGTGAGCTGAAACAACTTTTAACCAAAATTAATAGTGCAGACCGTAAAAACAATTATTCCAATAGATGTCTTTAATTGCAATGTTTCTCCAATACTTTTCTGTAAAACAATCGAACATTTAACTCTATTAAACTTAACATTAAAACTACAATAATTCTGTTCAAATTCAAGCAGTGGATGTGATTATTTATATAGCAGCAATGTGAGATGAGAGAACGCTTTCAGCTGCAATATGTTCATTGACAGTGGTTTTCAGTCTCTCAATGCGCTAGATTCCGAGAAAAATGGCGCAGGCTGCGGGTTCTTACTTTATCTTACACTCACCTTGCGATCGTTAACTATATTTAGCAAAGAGAGGACCAAAATCTTTAAGCGGGAAATCGGTATTCGAACCCCGAATTAGTCGTATAATGGAAGATATTTTCCATCATAATCGGTCATAAGTCGGTAGCAGTTTTCGATTCGCCATCTCCGTTTGTTGCCATTCAGGAGGCTGGAGAGGTGTTACCTCCATACATCAAGTGTGCTTTGAACATCAGTCATCTGATTCCCACATTAATTCTTACACAAATAAGCTCCGGTTTTGAAACTATCGGTTAGTCGCCGCATCTCTTCATAAAACTTTCGACCTTTAGCCTTGTCTTCCGGCTTTTCAAGATCTTCATACTCATCCTTTTCGGCATTTTCCTTTTCTTGTTTACGTTTTCCTTCTTAGACTTTCGGCTTCTATCCCACTTGCTATTTGCTGTACACAGCAGTTCGCCTTCATAGCGACGGTACGTAGTGAGTTTAAAATGCCATTCCAAAGTTCGCTTACGTCGAGTTGCTGATGAGTGCTCTTAGAAAGTAAGTGCGCTAGTCGAGTAAAACACCGTACTTCGTACCTTCCTTGTGTTTTTTGACGGACTTTCTTTGATACACAAAGGTGGGTGCGAATTTTCGCTTCGAAAAAATAGTGATCCCAACAACTAAGACAGTGGGCACATTCCGTCCGTCTATCACAACTTGATGGATATGGAGACAGCCAGGTAGCTTGGTGAATTTTCTTGTACGGAAATCTTATTTTATAAACGACCATTATCGGGAGAAGTCGATAAACCTCGATAAACCTCAGAATGCTTGGGAATGCTTCGTCCTGGAGCTTTAATTTTCCGACAGTTGTGCTGAAGATACCTTCTTTTGCAACCCTGGCCTTAAAGTCGCCAGTCAGCGCTCATGGGCATGCTACAGACGCTCATCGTCCGTCCCTTCCGCCGGGTCGTTGTGTCTAAATCAGTGTTGTATCGAAAACATTTAGGTTAATGCGGATTGTGGCGAGTCGTTCATCCACAGGAGTGAATACCAGTACTCGCCGGCAATGTCTCTCTCCCACCTCCCTCCCAAGTAGTTGTTAATTTATTTTTTCAAGAGCACTTGGTTTTATATTATATTGCATTATTGGCGCTTTAAACCAACTGAGCCGAATTTCGAGCTCCTCCTCCGATTTGTGGTTTTGGGTCATGATATTATCCCCTCAAATATTAAGCCGCCTCCAAACAGCTGATGGTTTCTTATGAAGAGCTCTTTTTTCATGTCAGAAATACACTCGGAGGTGTTGACATTCCCTGCCGAGGGGTGACCGCAATCAGAAAATTTAAATTAATTTTTTATTTAAAATAAATTTGGAGAATTTTTAGATGTTTGTCGGACCACGACTCGAACCCTGACCTTCCGACTTACTTTGGAGTATTTAAGTATACGCGATAATTATTTTTTTTCCAGGCCAACTTCGAAGATTTTATTGCGAAGTTTCCAAGTATTTTCCTCAAATCTTAAAAATTATTTTTACAGAACGAGTTCGGGAGGCGTTTCCCAAGAACTTTTCGCTGAATTGAAGAGTACAGCGAAAAGTGGTAGTTGGCAGTGAGTTTAGCTCTATATTTAATAACCTGCATTTAATTTCACATTAAGATTTGCTGGCAATAATTTATAAATAATTATCACAAAACTAAAAATAGAGACATAATTTAGGAAATACAAGAAGGTTTTTAAAGAAGATCATTTAAGTTGTCAAATATGACTTTGGAGAAGACAAGGTCTTTCATGGCTCTACGCAATGTCTCGCACAAACTTTTAACGAATTTTTAGCGAATCCCACTATAGATGAATTGCGGTTCTTCAATGAAAGCGGCTTAAGTGTTTTTGAAAGGTAAGAAACAAAAATGACATCAATGACTTAAACAGAATTGTTTATTTTCATTCATTTAGGTTGGTTGAAAACATTTAAATTAATTAGAAGGATATGCATAAATGAGAAATGCAAATTTTCAATATTATAATTTATCTGTTTTAAGCTATGTACATACATACATAAATATTTTTAAACAACTACTCAATACGATGGTGCTGTTTTAGCCTTTGATGGACAGACATAATTCAGTAATTTCAGGGCCAGACAAATGAAGTGATGTTCCTATGCTGGCACTTCGATAGAAATGTTCGAACTTCTCAAATTAACAACGAGAAAATATGAATAAATCCACCAAGTCCTGGAATTATTTATTGACTTTGAGAAATAGGAACCGCCACCAAGTAGACTTGCAAAGAAGTTGTATGAATTAAAAACATCCGGGATGCAGAAAAAAATACCTTAAATGGATAGAAAAGCTATGATAATTTTAGTGAAACAAACTTTTTAATTGGGAAATTTTGAGTGCTCACGAATACTTGTACCAAATATTATGTCAAGTCAAACCCGCCTGTGAAGAAGAGACAAATCAGCCTTCTAAAGAGCAAGGTCAAGCCAGCAGCTCATTCTTTCTAATGGGTTTTTTGTTTTAATTTAGTTTAAGATTTTATTACTTTTGTTAGGCTTCCGTTGTCGAAGCAGATTCAATAAATAAATATTACTGTTGAAAAAAAAAAAAAATAATAATAAGCGGCCAGAATTGGTCAATCGTAAATGTCTCATATTCCACCAGGAATATTATAGACCTCACACATTTTTGGTCACTCGCCAAGAACTCACAGAGCTTGGCTGGGAACTGTTGACGCATCCACCCTACAGCCCTGACCTTGCATTCTTAGGCTACCATTTATTTTGATCTTCACAAAAAAGAATCTTACCAAAAAATTGGGAGTTATTTCTACAATCATGACTTCTGGGTATGCAATTAATAAGAAAGCTTTCGCAGGATTTGCGCTTGTCACCGCAAAGTTATTTGTTGAGCTATATTCGTAAGAATAATGTCCGAGGAAGCTTTTGAGTCCCGAAATAAATAGTTTTAGATATTCTCGTGAACACAACACTACAAAAATGTATTGGGAAAAAACCAGATTATATATACAATGGCTCAAAAATGAACTCGGACACCCAAGTTATATGACTTCAAACAAAAAATTATTTATAAAATGCAATTCGAGGGCTTTCTATTTAACATATATTTCTAAGAGCTCGGACATACACATAGAATAGAATTTAAAAATATTATTTAAAGAAAAACAAAATATTCTTAATATTTGGGCGGCAAGCCTTTCCTTTTTCTGATAGCATTCAGTCTTCTTGGCAGAGATTCAACTAGCTTCTTGCATGTTAAGGTATTTACTTCTCCCCACTCTTCCAAAGCGGCTTCTAGGTCTTTCTTATTTCTAATATGATAACATGCATTTTCAGTTTATTTTCCAAATGAGCCCACAGATGTTCAATTACGTAAATGTCGGGAGATGCTTGTGGACCATATTACGATTTATGAAATCCAATTTTCCAGCACCAGCTGTGGACGTACAACCCCATACCATTACTGAGCCGCCCCCCTGTGTATAACAGTCGGACGTAAATTCTTTTCCAGCAACTCTTCATTAGGTTTCCTCCAAACATAAGACTGTCCATCTGACCTAAATATATTGAATTTTCTTTCATCTGCAAATAAAACTTATTTCCAGAATTGAAAATCTTTATCCACATGACATTTTACAAATTTTATCCTTATGTTTCGGTTAATCTCGTTCATAAATTGTTTCTGCCGTGCACTCTTCCATTATAATTATTTTTTCGTAATACTCTCCGGATTACAATTTATATTGAGCTGTTGCAAAACGTCATGCACAGTCGAGCGGGGTCTGCTCACAATTTCTGCGATTTCCCGAAAGGTTTTTCCCAATGACTAATAATTAACTTCCTTACTTCAATTGAGCTTTGTCCACGCTGTCTACCCATGTTTGAACTTTTCACCTTTTTTCCAAAAAAAAACTATTGAAATTTTATTCTAGGCTATTACGTTTGATTATTTACATACATATGTATTTTTAAAAGAAATCAAACTAATTGTGGGTTTACCCTTTTTAAAATGCCATGGACCTGTAATATTACCAGATGTCCGACTTCTTTTTTGGCGAAATTTCTAGCATACCACATGTTAATTTTTTGAAGCAAGGGCATAGGAAACCAGTAAACTATTTAATTTGTTTGTTATTGGTACTTCTTAAATTCTTATTGGATACCCTAT